GGGGGCGCCGCCGCGACAACTTGTTCCGGCCCATCGCGCCACACAGGCGCGCACACACACACACACACACACACACGTCCTGCCACCGCCCCCTTGGGCGGCCCCAGGCACACACTCAACCGTGGCCCAAGCGCTCACCACACTCGCAACATTCCTGGACGCGTAGCCAGCACACACGGACACACTCATACACACATCCGCTCCACACTCGCTCCCACACACGCATTCCCGGCACACTTGGCATTCACACGGACCCACGCAGCCCCCGGCGACGCACACCACAAACCCCAGACACTCCCACACGGACACACAGCACGGACACACGTTCCGGACCCATTCCCACGCTTTCACACACGATCTCACAAGCACACACCATACTCACTTGCTCAGGTCCACAGAGCACCCTCGCATCACATGCATAACACAAACACACAACCCATTCTCAGACACACAAACACACTCCTGGTTATGGCATACAAAATGCAAACAAATGCTACACATTAGCAGATACAACTCCAGCCACACAACCAAACTCAGATGCACACACTACACACGTATCACCTTCTTGGCCGCACAAATACTACACACTGGCAGACACACAAGAGACAGAGCACAACCGATGCCTCCATGCACACAACATTCGCCCCAACATACTCGCACACACACAACACAGCACCTTTTCTCGCACACAGAACTCATGGACACACAACATTCGCAGTCACCCAACATCCTGGGCACACAACCGCACATCCTACACTCATACACACACAGGGAGCACGCTCACAACGCCTGGCCACCCGACACTCACACTTTCTTTCGAGCTACGCCACGGGCCCCAGGGCTCGGCGGGGCAAGCTTCGTCCAACCGCTGCGCGCTTACCTGCCGGAGTCTCGGTCTCCGGCGCGCAGAGCTGAAAGGTGAGCGCCAGGACAAGCGCCTGGGCTCGGGCCATGGCCGGATTACTGCCGCCTGTCCCGGGGCCCAGCACGGGGGGCGCCGTTGCGGGAGCCCGAGCCGAGCCCGAGGCGAGCCGGAGCCGGAGCGGAGCAGCGCGGCGCGGAGCGGGACTGGCGGCGAGTCCAGAGCGGGAGCCGGAGCGAGCGGGGCGCTGACGTCAGGCCCGATTACGCGTTCGGCGGTCTCGCGGCGCCTCCTGCAGGCGGTGGCGGGACTTCTGCCGGTCCGGCCACCCGCCGGCCCCGGCGCGCCCTTCCCCCACTCCTGCATCTGTACTGGGGCCCCCGACGCCTCGGCACTCACTGGGCACCAAAATTCCAGGCGAGCACAGCCATTGCCCAGGCGTAGGTTCCGCATACCTTCTCAGGGACAGTGACCCAAGGACATCACCTCTCTGACCCATCTGATGCTTGAATCCCTTCTACCTTGGCCCTTCCAAATGTGAATTCATGCATAGCTCCAAGGACAGAGCACTCATCAGGTACCAAAAGCGGTTGTTGGCCGTTTGAAAACGCTGGTATTTAGAAAGTTCTTCATTTTCATGACGTGATGTCGGTTTCCCTCACTAACACTCACTGGTCCTACTCCACCCTCTGGCCACACTAGGTGTATTTTGGCTTCTACCCAGTATAAATCCTTGAACAGTGATCTGCAAACTAGTCGCCCATTACTATGTGAGACCAGGCACCTTCTCTGTGTTTTACCCACATGGACTCATTTAATCTTCATCATAACCTTATTAGGTATGGGCCGGGCGAGGTAGGGTACACCTGTAATTCTAGCACTGTGGGAGGCTGAGGCAAGAGGATCGCTTGAGCCCAAGAGTCTTGAGGTTGCTGTTAGCTGTGACCCAGGCACTCTACCCAGGGTGACAGAGAGAGATTCTGTCTGCAAACAAACAAACAAACCACTTTATTAGGTATGTACTATTATATTCCCATTACAAAGTTGAGAAAATTGAGGCACGGGGAAAGAGAATGACTTTTCTATTGTACATTTTTATGCAGCAGCACCAAGGTTTGAATCAAAGTTTTCTGGCTTGAATAAGTGCTGAGAACTGGAAACCTATTTATTCAACAAATCCTTGTTAGATACTGTTAACAATTAGTTAACCGCAATTGTTGAACAATTACTAGGTCAGGCAAGGTGGTTCATACCTATAACCCCAGCCATTTGGGAGGCCAAGATGGGAAGACCACTTGAGGCCAGGAGTTCAAGACTAGCCTGGGCAACATTAGCAAGACCTCATCTCTACAAAAATAAGAAAAATAAGCCAGGTGTCATGGTGCACACCCGTAGTCCTAACTACTCAGGAGGCTGAGGCAAGAAGATGGCTTGAGCCCAGGAGTTGGAGACTGCAGTGAGCTCTGACTGCATCACTACGAGAAAAAGAAAAAGAAACAATTATTATAGGCCAGGGTGAAGATAAAAATCAGGCGTGGTGGCTCACACCTGTCATCCTAGCAGTCTGGGAGGCTGACATGGATGGACTGCCTGAGCTCAGGAGTTTGAGATCAGCCTGAGCAAGAGCAAGATCCCATCTCTACAAAAAAAAAAAAAAAAAATAGAAAAATAAGCCAGGTCTGGTGGCAGGCACCTATAGTCCAGGCTACTCAGGAGGCTGAGGCAGGAGGATTGCTTGAGCCTGGGAGTTTGAGGTTACTGTGAGCTAGGCTAAAGCCATGGCACTCTAGCTGAGCAACAGAATAAGACTGTCTCAAAAAAAAAAAAAAATCCTACCCTTGTGTGGAGCTCACATTCCAGTGGAAAGACAAACACAATAAATAACAATAACAATAAAACAAATCCTCTAGTTTATATTTTTTATCATGTCTCATACACTGAAGAATTCAAAAGGAAATCCAATTAGAGACACAGAGATTGTTGCAGTTTTAATCAAAAGACCTGCTATATGACATATTCCATTATTTATCCCCACCTCTAGAAATGAACTCCCTTAGGGACCTTAGGGAAGGGCCTCATCTTGTATCCCAGTGCCTGGTCTCTAGCTTGCAGTTGATGTTCAAAACTTATTGAATGAATGAATGAATGAATATAGCATGGCCCTTGCCTTCATGAAGCTACTGTCTATCGGATGACACATACAGAGCATATAATCACAATCTGCCATATGCACTCGGAAAGAAATGGGTGCTGTGGTAGAGAATGTGGGAGGGGGCATCTGTTTTAGATAAGGTAGTCCAAGAGGGTGTCACTGAGGAAGTGACATGGTGACATTTGAGCTGAGAGCTGCAGTATAAGAAGGAACCGGCCTCATGCAAATCAGTGGGGAGGAGCATTGCAGGAGCTGGTGGGTTTGAGGAACCACAAGCAGACCAGAGCAGCTAGAACGGAGTGAGCTGGAGACAGAGGGGAGCTGGGGGCAGCAAGAGAGGTCAGGCCTGCAGGTCACACAAGAAAGAAACTAAGGGCAAGGAAGGGGCTTTGAATTAAACCCTAAGAGCATAGGAAGAAGCCACTGAAGCATTAGGCAGAAGAGTAGTAAAGTCTGATCTCTGATTTCGTTTAAGTCCCCCAAGCAGCTGAGTGGAGAACAGATTGTGGAAGCAGGAAACCCCCCAGACAGATGGCTCAGACACACACAGGTAGTTCAAGTTGTATCTAGATCCTCTCCGTATGGTATCCTGCCTCCAGTCACAGCTGGCCTCACCAGACACACCCGGAGGCTGCCCTGGGGCTGGGGAGGCAGGGCAGAGGGCTCCCGGGCTCCTCCGGATGAGCTCCAGGTCGAGTTGGGGAAGGGAGCAAAGGACACAATGCAATTAAGGACCCAAGGGAAAGATTTAAACAGAGAGACAGTCATAGTAGGAGAGAAGCAAAAGCAAGAAGAGTGTCTCCAAGGTAGGGAGACACTGGAGCAGAGATGGGCCTGTCCCGAGAAGCCTATCCAGAAAAGGAGTCTCAAGGAGAAAAACCAGTGAACAGAAAAAACAATTGAGGCTGCTGTTTGCAGAAGACTCTTGAGGGAGCTTCATAAATTTACCCAAAGTATGGGTGTGCAAAGTGAGGCTCAGAGAGCATAAGGCACTTACCCAGATCACAAACTAATAAATAGAGGATGCAGAATTTGTGGTCTGACTGATTCCACATCATTTTACTCTTTGTGCAGGAGGAAGAAAGAGAGGGCAAGCAACAGGTGGACAGATAAAAAGAGAACATTCTGCTTTACTTTAAGAAGACCACAAACTTTTTTAATTTTTATTTATTTTTGGTTTTTTTGAGACAGAGTCTCAGTATGTCATCATCGTTAGGGTACTGTGGTGTCACAGCTCACAGCAACCTCAAGCTCTTGGGCTTAAGCAATTCTCTTGCCTCAGCCTCCCAGGTAGCTGGGACTACAGGCACCTGCCACAATGCCCAGCTATTTTGTTGTTGTTGTTGTAATTGTCATTGTTGTTTTTAGCACGCCCAGGCCAGGTTTGAACCCACCAGCCCCAGTGTATATGGCTGGCGCCCTAACCACTGAGCTACAGGTGCTGAGCCCACAAACTTATATAGTCCTTGAGAAGAGAAGGAAGGAAGAAGAAAAGTCCTGACCTGGAGTGACCAGGCCAAAACTAGGGAAAAGGAGGACACCATAGACAGTGCCAGGCCATGAGGAAATTCAATTACCCACAACTCATAGAATATTTATGACACCTCCCTGTGCCAGGCCTCATATTGAGTACTGGTGTCATGGAGATGAACCAAACACAGTCCTACTCTTGCCTGGAGGGGGAAGTGGGCACATAAATAACTAAGAGACTATGTGCTAAAGGCCATAACACCAGTTGAGAGAAAACTCAGAGGCAACAGCAATTGACTCGACCTAAGGAGTTGGGAAACAACAACAAAGAAATGATATCTGAACTTGGAGTTTCCCAGGTAGTTAAGGCAGGGAAGAGCATGTTAGGCAGAAGGAGGAGCCTGAATAAAGGCACAAGATAAACAAGTGCTGACAAAGGTGGGTATCAGGCATGGTTGGATCATAGGCTACGCACAGTCCAACAGCAGAAGATAAAGCTGGAAAGACTAGGTGGGAATCAGAGCGCAAAGGTTCTTAGATGCAAGGCCAGGACAATTAGACTGGACATTCTCCATCAGTGGCTATCAAACTGTACCCCTAGGAAAACCCAGATGGCACAGACTCTAAGTGAGGGCTATTGGGATGCACAGGGGAGAAAAATCCAACCTCAAGGAGGAAGACTTGCTGGGTGATTCTTTAGGCTTCCTGAGTGGGCTGCCCAGGAATTCAGAAGAGCCAATTTGGTGGAGAAGATAATGCCAGCAACTCAATGCCACCTAGGGAATCTCACAACTTTTGAGGGTTATTTCGTATCTCCCAGCACAAGTGTGTCATTGTGAAAATGGGTAAGCAGCACGGGTATTGTGTTTGTGCATATGCACGCATGTACACTTGCACATAGTGGGACCCCACCATTGGACACCAAAAACAAGTATAAACATTTATTGAGGTTTAGCACCTGTAGCTCAGTGGAGAGGACACCAGCCACATACATTGGAGCTGGTGGGTTCGAATCTAGCCTGGGCCTACCAAACAACAATGACAACTACAACAACAAAAAATAGCTGTGTGTTGTGGCAGGTGCCTGTAGTCCCAGCTACCTGGGAGGCTGAGGCAAGAGAATCACTTAAGCCC